GCTATGTTGAATATGGGGGCCGTCTGAGAGGCTGGCTGCTATGGTGGATATATAGCTATGCAACTTCAGTTTTTCACTTAGAAGTGCTCTGTGAACATTCTCCCATGTCCATATAAATAGGCCTTAAAAACACACACAGAGAAAGTCAGCACCATCTCTAGCAGCAAATAAGCTCTGTGAGACCACATGATAATGTATTCACAATGATAAATAAGAAAGAGAACTTCCTTAGAATGAAAACTGCTTCTCTGATTAACATTTCAATATTCTTTATTAAGCCTCCAGTTATTAACTGGATATCTCTGCTAAGTGAAGTTTAAAAAAAAAAAATCTTTATTGATTTCAGAGAGTGGAAAGGAAAGGGAGAGAGAGAGANAAATATGTTTTTATTGATTTCAGAGAGTGGAAAGGAAAGGGAGAGAGAGAGAGAGAAACATCAATGATGAGAGTCATTGATCGGCTGCCTCCTGCATGCCCCCTGCTGGGGATCGAACCCCCAACCTGGGCCTGTGCCCTGACCAGGAATCGAACCGTGATCTCCTGGATCCCAGGTCGATGTTCAACCGCTGAGCCATGCCAGCTGGGCTTTTCTCTGAGTTTTAAAAATATTTGCTTTATCTTTGGTTTTCAGAAATGTCACTATAATATGATCAAGTATTTCTTCATATCAATTTATCCTACTTGTAATTTGATGAGATTTCTGTATTTATGGGAGCGTATCTTTCATCACAATTAGAAAATTCTCATAAATAATTTCTTCAAAATTTGCTGTTTCCCTATTATATTCTTCTTGAGTATATGTTAGGANATTAGAAAATTCTCATAAATAATTTCTTCAAAATTTGCTGTTTCCCTATTTTATTTTCCCTATTATATTCTTCTTGAGTATATGTTAGGATTTTTTTTAGCACTTCCCAAGATATCTTTCTGACTCAATTTCATGTTTCATTTTATGCCTTTTTTGATAGTTTTCTGTTAATCTTCATACGAGTTTATTGGTCCTGCTTTCTGTTGGGGGTGGTCATCTGTTATTGTATCTGATGTTTTTGGGTTTTTTTGTTTCTTTTTTATTCTTCACCCTGGGATATTTTTTCCATAGCTTTTTCAGAGAGAGTGAGAGAGACACATTGAGTGGTTGCCTCCTGCTCGAGTCTCCACTGGGGCCAAGCCCACAACTGAGGTACATGCCCTTGGCCAGAGTCCAACCCAGAACCCTTCAGCCTGAGGGCTGACGCTCTAACCACTGAGAAAAACTGGCTAGGGCTGATGTTTTCTTAATATATTATATATTGCTGTTTCAAAACGAATAATTGATTTTGTGTAGATTCTAATACTTCACTGAAATACTACATTTTTTCATTTTTATATCTTTATTTCCCTTCCTTGACATAAACCGTAGTTATTTGAAGTCCTAATTTTTAACTTCCATTACCTGTGTTATATCTGGGACTTCTGCTTTTGACTCCTATGTTATGCTCCTATAAAGATTATTACCGTTTTGTGCATTTCCCCTGAACAAACACTTTACATGGGACCTCATCAGTCCCAGAGACTTCAAAACATTTTATATGCTGATAGCACATAAATCAGTATCTCATGCTGGGCCTCTTCCCAAAATGCAGTGCTCCAGGTAAATGTTTGCTGCTGCACATGGATGTGACACAGCAGGGCCTGCTGACTTCCAGTCTCAAGACAGCACCCTCAGTGTCCTTGAAGTCACTCAGAAGGCCCCGATTATAAGAGAACAGGCTTCAATCTGTACGAGCTTCCAAGTCAACATAAATATTTGCAATGGAAATTTTTTGAGAATTTACTTCACAGTAACACTTTTCAGCAGACAAAGATTGCTCACTCCCTAGAGACGACAGTCCTTTGAGGTGCTTGCCTTAACAAGCTCCGTGGGGGCCACACACATCACAACATGAAACTTATAAACTATTCTCAAGGGGGAACAGAGGCAGGCACGACCTCAAGATCAACTACTCAGAAGCCCAAATGCCTGGAGGTTGTACTACGACATAACCTATAAAATATGACTTATCTCTGCTAAATTATCATGCCAAGAGCCTTCTGAGTAGGATCACCCCTGCCATTTTTCCTGAGTTCTCNTGCTTGCCTTAACAAGCTCCGTGGGGGCCACACACATCACAACATGAAACTTATAAACTATTCTCAAGGGGGAACAGAGGCAGGCACGACCTCAAGATCAACTACTCAGAAGCCCAAATGCCTGGAGGTTGTACTACGACATAACCTATAAAATATGACTTATCTCTGCTAAATTATCATGCCAAGAGCCTTCTGAGTAGGATCACCCCTGCCATTTTCCCTGAGTTCTCACTTTTCTGCATAAGCACCACACACACACACACACACACACACACACACACACACACTCACACTCTCTCACACACAGATTCACACTCGGATAACAGAGCTGGAGAGTCAAGAGCAGAGGGGCAGGTTTGCTCTACTCGGTAGGGAAGACACAGAATGGTGGGAAGACACTTTGTAATTTGCTCCCTGGACTCCACAGGTATGTGTCCGGGGAATGGGTTGGCTCTAGGTGATCGGAGTATAAAGCCCTCACATCTAGAAGCCTCCTGAGCGCCTTTACATCCTGTCCTTGTGGTCAGGACAGAAAGGGTGCCTGGGACTTGTCAGCTCCTGAACCCGTTCCAGGCAGTAGGCACTTCAGCTCCAGCCTTTCCTTTCTCTCTGAGTTTTCCTCTACACTCCAACCCAACTCTAGGAAAATACCCTAAATAGTACCCTCCTTTGTACAAATTAGTGTATATAAGCTGCTTAGTGATTTACAGGAGAGCAGGACACGGGGCTGGCAGAAATCCTCAGGTTTAGGAAGAAGGAAAAGCCGCCTTTCCGAAGGCCCTTTCCTTGCACTGCGCCAGGGAACTCGGAGTAACATCTGATCTCCATGCTGTCAAGACAGGTTTCTATTTCTCCTAGTCAGAGCCCCTCTCTGGTCACATTTATAGGGAGGTGCTGGTTCCACTAGATGTCCCTGTCTCATGGTATCAGAAAGGGGCATAAATGCCAGCTAATACTGTTCCCTCCTTTGACCCCTGAAGGTGAAGCTGGAGGTGTTGCACGGTTTCCTCTTTCATTTCTTCCTGTGCTGACAAGCATCTTCTACCAGCTCCTAGAAATCTCCTCTGGCCAGGAAAGAGAAAACATGTGGCTTCTTTTCTTTGGGGCCCAGTACGGGGGTGTGAACGTGTGGCAGAAAGCAATCCTGTAGGGATTTGATAACAATTCCATGGTATTTTTCTTGTGTCAGTGAAGCTGGTAGAAGTGCCAGATTAGCTTTTCCTGATTGGGGGTTCCAGGCTTGCTGTCCAGGGACGGTTTTCCTGACCCTGGGGAGACCCTGTGGCAGATCCTAGAATGGGATTCTGTGGCTACCACTGTCACTCATCAAAGTCCAGGGGAAAGCATTAGCTGGAGGAAATATAGCAAGATGATTCTACTACGAACACGATTTCTCTGTGTCACTTCTTTTCTGTAATCAGTGAAAACATTAGCTTTATAAAAATTTTTGAATTACATATCCTTTCTCAGGTTAAAAGTATCCCTTCCGAATTAAAGTTTGCTGAGTCTTTTTGTACTGAATAGATGCCGGGTTTTATCTTTTTGGTGGATTATACCTTTATCATGCCTATAAATGCTTTGAAATGATATCTGTATTGCTACTACCAGTTCGTCTAGTTTGGATCCCGGAAGGTTTGCTTTTACCTTTTGTATTTAGAATGACAGCCTACCTGAAATGTATTTTGGGCATCCGTTGTGGCAGGGGCCAGGTTTCAGTCTTCTTCCACGGACAGACACCCGACCCAGGGTAACTTATTGAAAACACCAGCATCACCTTTGTCTTAGGTCAACTGTGTGTGTCTCTAGATTTCCGAGTTAACCAGGCTGTTTCTTTGTTTTATTTATCTTTTCCCCAATACCGCACTGATTTAATTCCTGTGGTTTTATAATAAATGTCAATAGCCAATAGGGTAAATCCTTTTACCTCTTCTTAAGATTTCCTTGGCCATCCTCGATTGTTTGTATTTTCATATGTGACATTTAGAATAAGACAATTTACTTCCACACATAAAAACATCTGATTTGAATTTCATGTAAAGGAGAGGTCAATTTGGAGAGATATGGACTCTGAAAATTTTCCAGCCCTTGAACATAGATATTTTTCGTTTTCACATCGACCTTGAATTCACAGTTTTTATAAATTCACTCATCAGTTTCAATAGTTCACCTATAGGTGCTTCTGCTACATACACAGTTGTGTATTGTGATTAATGACATTTTATATTCTCCATTTCAGTTCTTAGGCCTGACTTCTTCTTTCTGCCTTATTGCTGGCTAGCTATCGAGTTGACATTAAACAGAAGTTGTGTTAGGAGAGCACATTGAGTTTATTTGCTAACTCAGAGGAAAAGCTTTTAAGATTTCACCATTAAATATACTGTTTCTGTAGGTTTGGGAGATACTCTTTCTCAGATTAAAAGCTTCCCTTTCTAATTAAAGTTTGCTGAGTCTTTTGGTACCAAATAGATCCTGAATTTTATCTTTTTTGTGGATTATGCCTTTCATTATTATTGTATAGTAGCTGAACGATATCAATATTGCTATGACCAGTTTTTCTATGGTTAGAACATGTTTTATTTTTTAAATTTCATCTTTAACCTTTGTGTGTGTATGTGTGTGTGTGTGTGTGAGAGAGAGAGAGACAGAGACAGAGACAAAGACAGAGAGACAGAGAATTTATGTTTAGGTAATTCAGGTGTCCTTGTAAAGATTTTGTAACTTGATTTTTTTCTTCTACTGTGATTATCTCTTTCTTTTAGTGTCTTACAGTAACACGTAATGTGCATAGACATGTTAATACCAGCTTATTTTGTGTTTTTTGTGTATCAAAAAATTTTATTGGCTTTATTTCTTATTTTTTGCCTTCTGCCTGCTGTTGGCTTAATCATACTGTTAGTTTCTCATATTTGTCATGTTATTTTGAAAACTATACATTCTATGTCTGTTTTTATTGATTTTAGANACTGTTAGTTTCTCATATTTGTCATGTTATTTTGAAAACTATACATTCTACGTCTGTTTTGATTGATTTTNCTTATTTTTTGCCTTCTGCCTGCTGTTGGCTTAATCATACTGTTAGTTTCTCATATTTGTCATGTTATTTTGAAAACTATACATTCTATGTCTGTTTTTATTGATTTTAGAAGAAGGGAGAGAGAGAGAGAGAAAGAGAGAGATTGAGAGAGAGAAACTTTGATAAGTTGCCTCCCACATGCACCCTAACCGGGGATCAAGCCGGCAACCTGGGCACATGCCCTAACGGGGAACTTAACCAGGGACCTTTGGTGACGCCCAACCAACTGAACCACACGGCAGGGCAAGAGTGCTAAGATTCTTGATGAGAATTAAAACCCTGAATGACTTTACATTTGTTAGAATAATTACTTACACTGGAATTGTTATCAAATCCCTACAGGATTGCTTCCTGCCATGCGTTAGCACCTCTGTACTGGGCAGCAAAGAAAAGAAGCCCCTGTGTTCTCACCTTCCTGGCTGGAGGAGATTTCTAGGAGCTGGCTTAACTTCAAGGAACCATATTGATGCCCCACCTCCCCAAACCGGCCTCGACTCCATCCAAACTGAGTTCCAGGTATGACTCTCCGCTTTCCTACTGGGAGCATGTCGTCGTGTTTCTGATTTATTTCTGGTGTGTGGAAGAATCGTCTCATTTTACAGTCTGGCTAATATTCGGGCGTTTGCAGTGCATATTTGGATCTGTCATTTTCATGTGCTTCAAGTAGGAGAACCAAAGAACTCATCTTGAGCATAACTCCTTACTTAAAATTAAATATGTAACCAATAGAGTGTGATGATAAAATTAAGTGTCACAAAGCTTCAATTTCTGGGAGAAAACAGAGATTAGTAGAAGTCGTGGTAAATGAAAGACATGTTCTGTCTCTTCATTAGCTTCAGCTGATTATTGCTTACAATACATTTCAAGGAGCATCAGATCTTTTATTTTTTTAAAGGAAGCCAGAGACCCCAATTTTTATGTGAAATCTCCCAATTTTTCATATTAGTCAACAAAGTTTTAAAATATCCCTAAAAGACACATCAGCAGACCAGCATCACAGGGCTCAGGGCTGAATCGAATCCATGAATTATGGGTTTGTGGTTTTTGGCATAAATTCGCACATTGTGTGAGCATATCGTTTATTTCCTTTTCTGCCTCTCAGCTCTGAAGTTTCTGTCCTAAGCACAGCATCGTGTTTACCTGTCAAAAGGACATGGGGAGCAATCAGACATGGATCACAGACGTTATCCTGCTGGGTTTCCAGGTGGACCCAAGACTTGAAGTTCTCCTCTTTGGGTTCTTCTCACTGTTCTACAGCCTCACCCTGCTGGGCAACGGGGTCATCCTGGGGCTCATCTGCCTGGACTCCCGGCTGCACACCCCCATGTACTTCTTCCTTTCCAGCCTGGCCATCATTGACATGTCTTACGCTTCAAACACTGTTCCCAAGACCCTGGCAAATCTTGTGACCCAGAAGAAAACCATCTCTTTTGCTCCATGCATTCTTCAGACTTTCCTGTATTTGGCATTTGGCATCCTAGAGTGCCTGATTTTGGTGGTGATGTCCTATGATCGGTACGTGGCCATCTGCCACCCCCTCCATTACTCTGTCATCATGAGCTGGAGAGTGTGCACGGCCCTGGCCGCCACTTCTTGGGTGTTCAGCTTCCTCTTGGCTCTGGTCCACGTGGTTCTCATCCTGAGGCTGCCCTTCTGTGGGCCTCATGAAATCAACCACTTCTTCTGTGAGATCTTGTCTGTCCTCAGGCTGGCCTGCGCCGACACTAGGCTCAACCAGCTGGTCATCTTTGTGGCCTGTGTGTTTATCTTAGTGGGGCCCCTCAGCTTGGTGCTGGTGTCCTACACACGCATCCTCTTTGCCATCCTGAGGATCCAGTCTGGGGAGGGCCGCAGAAAGGCCTTCTCCACCTGCTCGTCCCACCTCTGCGTGGTCGGGCTCTTCTTTGGCAGCGCCATCGTCATGTACATGGCCCCCAAATCCCGCCACCCTGAGGAGCAGCAGAAGATCCTTTCCCTGTTTTATAGCCTTTTCAACCCCATGCTGAACCCGTTGATCTACAGCCTGAGGAACTCAGAGGTGAAGGGTGCCCTGAGGAGGTTTCTGGGGACAAAGAGATCACTGGGAGGGATGGTTTGGAGTATTCTGAGTGTGTGAGCTCATCCTCATGATTCTGGGACCTTCAATGCCCTTTTGAGTCCTTTAATGTAACCAACACAGGACTCTTTCTTTTTGGATTTCTTACGAAATGAGAAAATAAATACTCTTACTGTTTAAGCCATTGAAACTAAACCTGAGATAAAGTGTGAAACAGAAAATCACCGTCTAGGCCCGGCTGGGTGTGGCTCAGTGGTTGAGCATCTACCTAGGACCCAGGAGATCGCGGTTCGATTCCTGGTTGGGGCACATGCCCGGGTTGCGGGCTCGCAGAGGATCAATGACAACTCTCTAATCATTGATGTTTCATCTCTCTCTCTCCCTCTCCCTTCCTCTCTCTGAAATCAATAAAGATTCATTTAAAAAGAAAAAAAAGGAAATCACTGTCTAATCCTACTCATGAAATAAATGCAAATATCTTAAAAGAAAATATTAGTAAAACAAGTCCATAAAAGAAAATAATTTTATATTTTGATAAAATTTTTATGCTCCTCATGCAAGAATTGTCTGAAATAAAAACAATGAAAATAATTTGTCACATTTGACAAAATTTAGCATCAGTTCATGATCAAACTCTTTACATGTTAGTCTAGCAATAAGCATTTCTAAAGAGGATCTACCAAGAAAAAACAAAAACAAAAACAGAAAACCCACACAGCAGACCTCATACTTAATGGCGAGATGCTAGTATCCTTCCCTATAAGATAAAGAGCGAGATAAAGATATTCACCGTCGCCTTGTTTTCAACTTTAACTAGAGACCCTAACTGGTGCAGTTAGACAAGTAGAAGAAACACAGGTACTCGAATATGCACACACACATTGGAGTGGGAATAACACTTTGTGGTTATATGCAAATGACATGATTATGTATGTTGTAAATCCAAAGGCATCTTTGGATATATTATTGTAATTATAAGAAAGTCTAACAAGGTAGCTTAGTACAAAATCAATATGAACATTGATTATATTTTTATATAGCAATAACAAATGATTCAATATGGGATTTTACAGAACCAGCCATAAACAGCAGGACTTAATTTTTCAATGCTTATGAGTAAATGTAACAAAGGATGTACAAAACATTGTAAAGAGATAATTAGAAAAATGTATTGAGGCACTATGGTAACTTGGTTCGCAGATATTCAATGGGGGATACGCTAGATTCTTGGATTGGGAAACACAATATTACAAAGATTCAGTCTCCTTCAAATTGATGAATATGTTTAATGTAATTTAATCAATTTCCTACAATATCCCAGCAGAATGTGTGGGTATCTTCAGAACTTCAACACACTGATTCTAAAATGCAAAGAGCCAAGAACAGCCCAGACACTATTAAAAAAGATAAAATACAAGGTGGGAGGACATGAGTCCCCAGAGAACAAAATATACCACAAAGTGCCAATAAAGAAAACAGTGTGGCACACACTTACCAAAAAACTGAGCAGAATACAAAGCATAGAAGCAGATTCATGCCTTTCTGACCACTTGCTGGATGAAAGGTGTGGCAGGGCAGGTCCCTGGGAGAAGGAAGGGCTTTGCAGGAATGGTGCTGGCACACTGAGTAGCCGCATGGATACTCATGCATGTAGAAAACACAATTCCTAGTGTTTTCAAGACCCAAGTGTCCGAGGAAAAGCTATAAAGCTTTTAGAAGATAGGAAGGGGAAGGATTTTTAAAATAATACACAAAATTATTAGTCACAAAAGAAAACACTGATGAATTTGACTAAATTGAAATTAACAGTGTGTATTATTTAATAAAAGGCATAAAAAGAGTGAAAAGACAAGACAGAATCCTACCAGACCTTCTAATTTATTAGGTCTCAAATATGACCTCCTCAAAGACCAGCATATTTCAGAGTCCCACTTGTCACGACTAGGTGACTTCCTAACGTATCACTCCAGTTTATCTTTTTACCCAAATCACTTTACAAAATAAACACACTTAAGAATGAAAGCAGAATAGAAACTGTTTTTTCTAACCGTATGATGGATGAGCCATTTTCAAATGTTCGTGGGAAAGCGTTCTGACGTAACTATTTAAAATTGATTTTAAAAAGCACAGAGAAATTCTTTTGTCCATCTTTTCTGTTATCAGAAAGAATGTCTTTTTAAAAAATATTTTTTTATTGATTTCAGAGAGAGGAAGGGAGAGGGAGAGAGAGAAACATCAATGATGAGAGTCATTGATTGGCTGTCTCCTGCATGCCCCCTGCTGGGGATCAAGCCCGAAACCTGGGCATGTGCCCTGACTGGGAATTTAACCGTGATCTCCTAGATCCTAGGTCAATGTTCAATCGCTGAGCCATGCCTGGCTGGGCTAAGGTTTTTAGTTATATAGTAGATACTTTTCTTGCTGCTCCATTAGAAATAAATATACTTAAAAATAGCATGTGGAGTATGAACCAATTTATATAAAAATATCTATCATCTGTTTATACTTTTCTCATTATATTTCTCTAAGTGCACAGAGATATTTGGGATTCCACTAATCAAATGTGTGGGTCATATGCTTGTATTTTCCTGAATTGCTTAACTCATTTTCATATTGGGAAAATATTCCTTTGGCACGAAAAGTAAGTATCAGAATACTTTCCTAAAACATCATGCAATTACATTTTTTGTTAAATCATTCATCATGTTAGCCTTGAATCTATGTATATATTCATCCAGAAATCTCTGGGATATTGAGCCATTAATCATAATATGGTTACTGCAGGGTGCTGAGATAGGCAGTGACTACAAGTTTGACAAGGAAACTCTTTAGTAGGCCAGTGTTTGCTCTCACCTGGCTTTCTAAGCTGGAAGAGTGTATCGATGGAATGCTTATAGCTGCAAGTAATAAAGGTGATGTTAACTAATTGCCCTGCTTTTTCTGGGGTTGGATTCTTTGTGCCTATTGCTAAAGCTTTCTGTACCTTTAATTCTTCTTGGTCATCTCAGATAATTTATCCATTTCTCAGGAGATTTCTGTTTGCCTCCTATCTGGACTGGTTGCTGCCTAGCAATTTCATCTGCCTTTATCCTGTGTTGGACTCCTTAGTTCATTAATGTCATGTTTTCTTCTTTCTTGATTTACTCCCTTGTTTTGGTGGAGCACGTCCTACAGTAGCTTCATACAGTTAGAAGGGTGTACCGTGGCAAGTTATGGTGAAAACGGTCACGAGCACTTCTAATTTCTCATCATTGCTTACATTATTTTATCTTTTTCAACTATCCCATTGAAATTCTCTGTGCTGAGTGGACTTAGAGAAACTAAGAATGGACTCAAGCCCCGGGAAGGAGGAATTTCTGTCTCTGAGATAGCAAAGCCTTAAAAGGATCTTTAGGTGCAGCTGTAGGTATTGCATCTAACTGTGATCTGCAAACATTTTTATCCCTACATTTGACCTTCATTTAATAAAGGTCTGTCACTAATGACAGAGCCAAGTATGCCATGTAATACCCATTTTTACTAAAATATAGAATAGTAATCAATACAAATATTAGTAATACAAGAAGTCTAAGACTTTTGAGAGTAAATGTTTTTGCTTTTGTGTTTCATAGAAGCAAATAGAGATGAGGAATCAGGACGCCTCTTTTATCCGCTGTAGGCTGTGTTAAATGATACCATATTGTCCCCATCCAATGAAATAAAAGTGGTAATTAGGCATATCTGAATGCACATGCACCAAATTATTATCCTTAGCTCTAGCTGGGTATTGATAGGTGCCATTTATTTTTTATAATAATTTTGTTTTGCTTGTAAAATATAGGAAAGGTGAACAATATAAGAATATTAAAAGTAAAAAGAAATTATTTAAGCACAATCTTGAAGGTTGTTTTTTTTCAAATCCTGACCAGAGGATATTTTTCCCATTGCTTTTCAGAGAGAGTGGAGGGGAGAGAGAGAGAAACATCAATATGAGAGAGACACATGGAGCGGTTGCCTCCGCACTCGCCCTGACTGGGGAGGGAGCCTGCAACTGAGATACGTACCCTTGTTTGGAATCGAACCCGAGACCCTTCCATCGGCAGGCCAATGCTCTAACCACTGAGCAAAATTGTCTAGGGCTGAAGGGTATTTTAATAAGTGCATTTAGTCTACCGGAGAGGAGAGTCCAATTTGGGTTGAGAGATCTGGAGAGGGCTCCGTGAGTGCTTGGAAGAACAGGTATTACATCTGAAGCCAAGTGGGTGATACAAGGATAAAGCTGACTTGAAACAAGGAATGAGAATTTCAGGAGTGGGGGTGTGGGGGGCAGGACTTGAGTGAATAGAGAGTGTGTGCTGGGAGCAAGGAAGTCAGAGGAGTGAGGCTCCACTGGACACAGATTATATTTAAGGAAAGAACCCCAATTTCCCTCCTCTTAAATATATCTTTTCTGCTCTCCAGTAGATTAAAATTAGACTAAAATTATTGCTCTTATTTGGAAGTGCTCCTTCCACCACAATTTAAGAACTAAGATTTTTTTTTTAGAGAATTTGACTAAGACGCACTTTGGAAGTTAGAACGGGAAGGACTTTACAATCAAACATTATCAGAGAGAGAGATTCATTTTTCATTTTAACTGTGGGCTTTTAACCCGGGATGAAGGAATAAAATGTGACTCAGAAATCTGGAGATGTTTGAAATGGGCAAACTAAAGAAAATTAGGGGAGAGGCCTATTTGAACTGCCAGGTCAAAAATATGTGTGAGAAATGTGTAGTGACTATTGGCAGCCACATTTGCTCCATCGGGAGACAACAATTTCTCTGAGATGATGTCTTAATTAACAGGGTCCGTAGAGCCCCTGCCACGAGAGATCAAGAAATCACAGCCTCTGCTCTATGATTAAACACGAGGCATTGGAGAGTGGAGCAACATTAAGACTGACAAATTAAGTATCGAGAGAAATTAATTTTATGATATGACCTTGAATTTTTACTTTCTGTGCCAGGGCTTGTATACTTTAGAGACATCCTGGCCTCACCCAATCCCAAGCGCACACACACACACACACACACACACACAC